TCTGTGCCTTGAAAAACATGCTGGGCATGTGTGCATATGTGCCTCAAATCCTGACAGGATGGAACAATGGAAGACAGAGGACTGTAGTATGACCATGCCCTACTGGGCACGGGGGGCTTGGGGGGGGGTGGGGCACTTCTTTCTTCTCTTTCTCTGGCTAGCCCACATGCCCTCTAGTAATTAAAAAATAGCTATCTCTTATATAGCCGGAACTGATAAAGACATGATGTTAATAAACTTTCTCATTTTAGCCACTAACCTTCCTCTTCCAATCCTACTTGCACTCTCTTTTGCTAAACTACAGCTAGGGATTGGCTTTCATCCAAGTTCCACCTTCATCTGAATTCAAGTTCCCTTCTGTGACCATGCTGGGAAGAGAGCAGTTGGAGCATGTGTACTTGCCCTTTAGAGAGAGTGCTGAAACACCCACACCCTCTGTGAAAGGAGTAAAGAGTAATACGTTAAGGTACAATCATGGATAGGGTCAACAGGTGTGGGGATCCCACATAGCTGGCTGTGTGGTTCGAGTTCAGGACAGATAACTTGAAAGACAGGCCATGTGTGTGTGTATGTGTGTGTGTGTGTGTGTGTGTGTGCATGCATGTGTGTGTATGCGTGCATGCCCAAAATTCCAAGAGAAAAACAAGGGAGAAGAGATTGCGACATGGTCATCCCTGGCTGCTGGGAGTGGGGAGGATTTCTCACTTTCCCTCTCTCTAGCTCTCTCTCTCGGTCTCTCTCTAGCAAGCACATGTGCCCTATAACCCCCACTCCCGGAAAAAAAGAAAGTATACATCATAGACGAAAAACATTTATAGGATGCATAAATGCACTAAAAATCAATAGTAATTTTAAAGTGCTGGTGGAAACCTCCTAAATCCCCAACAATAGAAACAAATAAACCCTGTGTTCTTTAATGGCCTGGAATACTAGTCTTTTGACTTCCTGTTATGGAAGTCACCATAGTCTTTAACTTTATGTTTCAAATTAGAAAAGAGTGCTTAGTTCAGTGGTGTCATTGCTGGCACTGAATAAGCTAAGGACTGTTGGCACCCTCTAAAAGCTGGAGAAGAAAAGAAATCTGATGACCCTTAAGCCTTCAGAAAGAAAACAGCCCTGCTGATACACAAGGAAGCCCATATTGGACTTCTGGCACCTAGAAATGTAAGATAATGCATTTATGTCATTTTAACTCAAATGAATTTTCTTCATGAATTATTGTATAGGTTAACTAAAATAAAAATATATACAGTACCTAACGGAGTACCTTCCATTAGGAAGCTTTTAGATAGCTGCTGGGGCCAGCCCTGTAGCCCAGTGGATTATTAATGGAGCTGATTCCACATGGCCTACCATGGTTTGAATCCTGGCCCTGGCTGCTTGAAAAACATGCCACATCTGGGGACCAGCAGATGGCATAATGGTTACGTCACTGGACTCCCACAGAGTCGACTAAGTTTCAAGTCCTGAACCCGGCAACTTAACACACTGGATGCATGTGCGTGCATGCCCCAAATCCTGAGAGAACGGAGAAGGGACTGCGGCATGTCAATTCCCCTGCGCTGGGGGGAGTGATTTCTCACTTTCAGTCTCTCTGTCTCTCTCTGGCAAGTGCACGTGCCCTATAGTGAAAATCTCTCTAAAAAAAAAAAAGAAAGAAAGAAAGAAAGAAAGAAAGAAAGAAAAGGAAGAAAGAAAAACATGCTAAGTGTTTTTCTACCTAAAGACCTGACAGGAAGGAGGAGCAGAGGGGAGAAGATGCAGAGTGATACCACTCCGTTATGGGGTGCTTTTTCACTCTATGTCTCTCTCAAAAGCACAGGTACCCTCTGGCAATTAAAAAAGAAGGGGCGGGGGGAGAGCTGCTATGAAGAGTATTAATTCTATTGCCATTAATGGCACCGAAACCAATAGTCCACAAAAAGAACACTGATTCAGTTCCAGAATTAACTCTGTGACTTAAGATGTCTTAGCCTCTGTAGGACTCAGTTCTCTCACAAAACAAAATGAGAGATCATCATTGAAGTTCCTTCCAGCTCTAGGATTTTATGATTCTAAAACTCAATTCCTTAATGACATATTCTACTTATTGCTAATTAACTGCCTCAGGAAATCCTATTAAATAAAAATAGTAGACCAAGCAGTTTTCCTTTTATGTTTCAACATTTTCAATATTTTATATTGCTGAGTTACAACCTTATAAAGTTGAGTCATAGCATTTGAATAAAAAAAAATCTTAGGCCTGTGAGAGCAAGGAAAAGTATCTAAGTCATCCTGCTACTATTTAAAAGCTTTACAGTCAGACTAAAATAATAGTAGTATCTTTGTAAATAGCTCAAAATATATTCCTACATATGACCCCATTTAGTCTTTTTCTACAGCTTTATTGAGATACAATTGACATACCGGTCACCCTTTTAAAGTATACAATTCAGTGGTTTCAGTGTACCCGTGGAGTAAACGTGCATTGCTACAAACAATTTTAGAACATGTGCATCACCTCCTACCCGTTGTCGGCAGTTGCTCTCCATCTCCCCCTCTAACCCCAGTCTACAGCTGCACTTTCTGTCTCTATGGCTGAATATTCTGAACAGTTCGTGTAAATGAAATCATATCATCTGTGACCTTCCACGTCTGGCTCCCTCCACTCCATGTACTGTTCTGACATTTCTCCATGCCGCAGCATGTGTCAGCTACTTCACTTTAAGGCTGTGTAGAACAATCCATTGCATGAACACACATTTTGTTTACCCATTCTTCAACTCTTAAGACATCTGGGTTGTTTGCACTGTTAAACTATTAAGAATAATGCCACTCTGACACTGGTGGTCCAAGTGGATGTATGTCTTCATTTCTCTCGGGTAGATACCTAGGAGTGGAACTGCTGGGTAACAAATGGTAATGTAATATTTTTACTGAAGAACTGCCAACCTGTATTTCCAAGTGCTGATCATTCTACATCTCTATCAGCAATGTGTAAAAAGTTCTAATTTCTCCATGTCCTTACCAACAGTTGTTATTATCTCTGATTATAGACAATGTGTGGGAGTACAGTGGTATTTCATACGGTTTTTATTTGCTTTTTTCCATATCTAACGATGCTGAGTTATGCTTTTAGCTATTTGTAAATATTTCTATTGGGTTTTAAGAGTTCTTTAAAATCCTAGATACTTGATGTGTATTTTTTCCCATTCCACCTCATTTAGTGCAGCTACTTGCACTACATAAACAAATCATGCTGCTATACCTATTATGCAGATGAAACTGATATGACCTCTGATTAAACAGAATTAACACACTGGCAAACTCAAGAGAACACGTATCTGTGCTCCTGTATCTATTAATTTAATGAAGCCATATATTGATAGAAACATTGTGACATGACAAGGCTTTCTCATTCAACCCTAAAGCTGTCCTGTACCTAAAACCAGACAATATATTTCCAAAACTATATCAAAGAGGGTCAATTCATTCACTCTAAAAATAGTGCTGCATGTGAGGTGTGTGCTACTCCTAGCTCAGGATGCATCCACAAACGTGACCAAATCTTTGCCCTAGTTAGTTGTATAATTTGGCAATGTTGTACAAAACTCTTCGCCACAAATCAATTCCTTAATAGCAAAAAGTTCTGAGAAAGAAATTTTGTATCTTAGTACTTGAAGAGCCATCTTTGATACAGAGAAAGCATTATTAGAGTTTAAAGTAAATGCTATCCTATTTTTTAAAAATCCAAAGCATTGGACTTATTTTGTGTTCTGGGACATCCTTGTTTAAGTATTGCTCCCACTACTACTCCATCACCTTATAAACCCCTTTAAAATGTAGCAATGCTTACTTTAATAGCATTTATCAAAATAAAACTTGACTGAAAGAAGAGAATACTTGTATGTTTATGTTTTACCAGAAAAACTGAATAGTCCAGGCCTAAATCATGGCTAGTTCCTATTCCATGAGGAGTAAAAATGAAGTAACAGCTCCATTAAACATAAAAGCGAAAGTATAGAATTAGAAATATGAGAACATAAAAAGCTGATTCTAAAGCCAACAGGTGACATGGTGGTTAAGGTGCTTGACTCACACATGGCTGACCATGGTTTGAGTCCTGGACCCGGTGGCTTGAAAATCACACCAGACACATGGCCATCCTTTCTAGGGGATGATTTCTTACTTTCCCTCTCTCCATCTGTCTCTGGTGAGCACATGCTCCCTATGGCAAAAGCCTAAAAAATTTTTTTTGATGATAAAATTATATTTAAAAAATAAAATAAAAAGTGGTTCTAACCTATAATTTCAAAGTATTCCTAATGCAGAGCAGAGGGCCCCTCAGAAGACTAATGGCATAACGCTGTGGCCCATGCAAACTAATTTATCTTGCGTTTTTTTTTTTTTTTTCCCTTAAAGAGTTCACACAAATGTTACATTCTAAACTATTATACCTCTACTTCATTTGCTATTTAAAAACATTTAACATCTTTAATTAGAGTCAATAAAATAATTTTTTGAGAACCAATTCTTGGAACTAAAATTATACTAATTTTTACTGTGAAAATTCAGTAAAATAACAGCCTGTGAGTAAAACTAATACTTGGGAAGTTGCACCAGGCCTTCCTCAGAGCCCTCAGTACTCTAATTACACAGTTTGTAATGGGAGGGTATACACACCACAGTTTGGCAAGTGAGGTGCCTAAGGATCAAGAAGGTACAGGGTGGGACCAACAGTTAGCATAATGGCTATGTCGCTGAACTCTCATGTAGTTGACCACGGTTCGAGTCCCAGACCTGGTGACTTAAACTCACGGCGGACACGTGTGTGTGTGTGCCTAAGGTCCTGAGAGAAGGTACAGGGTGATCCCAGGGATGGCCTGCTGCAACGTCACAGGTCAAGGTGGGGGCTCTTCTACACTGTGAACTGGGAGGCTATGGGTTTTCTGGAAGTGTCTCACAGTTACTTCAGGTGTCAGAGACAACTGCAAGTGACCCCTGTTCCTCCTACTTTTTACCTGATGTGCGCGCTGGAGTTCCATGTAAGTTTCCTGAGGACTGATGCCTGAAGTCAGAATTCAAAATAGGTCTGAACACTTAGAGCTAGAAGAAGTCTTGGCCAGGAAGACAATAATGTACATCAGATCTGAAAGACAAGATGAGGACAAAATGGGAGAATGAATTATGAAGCTGATGAGGAGCAAAGTCAAAAACAGGAAAGGGTGCGGTATAGGCAAAGGACTGGGGTCAGACCTTTATCCACAGAAAAGAATGCCTATTGTGGAGTGGGTGCGACTACTTAAAGGAGCAGCCAGATTCTTCAGCCAGAAGCACTCAGCTGAAATCTTAACCTCTGGTATGTTCCTTATGGACTGCAATCACTTGTCCTTCCAGCCCCAACAGATTCCTTAATTCCCACTGCCAGTCTATTTAAACAGCAGCCAATGGGAGCTTGCAGAACAGTAAGACAGAGCACGTCATTTCTGATTTAATGACTCTCCCATGACACACGAATAAAATCCCAGTCCTTCCCTGTAATGTACCACTGCTGCTCTCCTCACTCACCCCGCCCTTCAGAGAAAAGCCCCTGCCACACCTTTGCACTTGCATGTGCTGTCTTCCAGACCCTAGAAAGCTTTCCCCCAGGGATTTGCATTTCTGTGTCCCTGACTACATCCAGCCTCTGCCACAGGTCACTTCAAGAGCCTCTCCCTTGACCATATTATTTAAAACAGCATCTCACCACTGTATCTCTTACCTAATGTCATCTTTTTTATAACATTTTCTTACTCTCTGAAATTATACATATGTACTAGGTCTTCAGAAAAGTCATGACATATTGTTCTATGTTTTTCTATGCAGAAATGCATCATGACTTTTCTGACGACCCAATATAATATTGTGTATATAATATACATCATATACTGTATGTTACAATATATTATATACACATATGTAAGATATATTACATTCATAATCAATCTGCTTAGTGGAATTAAACTCCACAAGGGTGGAGAGGTTTTTTTATCACTTTTTCTTTAAGTTTCTTTCTTCCTTCCATTCATAAAAATGACAGAGAGGGAGCACCCTTAACAGGGTCTTCACACTGTGATCCACCCCACTCCAGCCAGCCCCCACACACGTGTGGAAGTCTCAGAACATAAACTGAGGTTTCCACTGTGGATCAACCTCACAGCACTGCAGTTCCACTGCATCACTGTCTGGTCCTTGATTACTATTTTAAGTAGTCACAGTACTTAGAACCATATCTATAAAAATTTTTTTCCAATATTTATTAAATGAATAAGTAAACCATATCTGCTCATAAATCCATGTAAGCTTCTAGTTCTCCCCCAATCTCCTCTTTAATCCATCCACCATCCCTTCTCACCCAATATGACGTAGGATCTGATTGTCCAGCTTTGCCCACTCAGCCTAAATTCTCAACTATTGTTGCTTTTCTTTCTAGTACACCCACCGAACTAGTCTAAGGATTCACTTCTTCAATCTACACCTTGGCTGAAGATCACTGCTATTAAAAAGCCCTAAACATATGAACTGGGAATGTGCAAACACACAGCCTCCCTGCTCCACAGGCCCTGCTCACTGTTGCCTGTCAACTTTTACCTGAACGCTTACTCGGCTCTCTGATATCCCACAAAATCCATTCCAACTTCCACCACTTTCTTCAAGCTTCCTACTTCCCTCTTAACTCAGCAAATGGCATCACCTCCACAGAAACAAAAGCAAGGCTATTAGGTCAGACTCCCTCAGTTTCTTCCGCCCTCGCTGACCAAAAACCACATGCACACTCTTACCCCCTTCCTGGCAGTGCAAAGGAAGGATGTCCCTCTTCCTGCCCAAAGCTAACCTTCAATCAGTATTCTAGAACTCGAGTCATCTACTTCCTTGGGGGCCTGATGCCATCTTTATCCATTTTTCCTCCTCCACATGTTTAATTTCCTTTTCTTCCATCTTTTCCTCCATGGCATGTAAATGTTTAAACCCTTCCCATCCTAAAACAAGTAAATAAGCAAAACTAATATACCACCCCAGACTCCTGCCATTATCCTATCTGTCCCTTTCCCTTTCCATCCAAGTAAATTAAAAAGAAAATTTAAGCTGTTTTTACTGCCCACCCCCATTCTTAACTCTCTGCAATGCGTGCCAACACAAAACTGCTCTCAAGAACAGATGACTTAACTGAAAATGTATTCCAAATTTACTAGCCCTCATCAATTTAATACTGACATGCTCATCTGAAAATGTTTATCTCTTGGTTTCCATAACATTATTCTCTTTTGGTATTCTCTGCACTTTCTTGGCCTCTTCTCTTCACACCAATTTGCTATTCACTGTGTGATCTGAGAAAAGCCTCTGTGCATGATGAAGCAATTGAAAACTTGGGCTCTGTAGGTGAGGCACCATAACAACAGAGACTTGACTAATTCAACAAAGGAAATGTATTCTTTCACAGTCCTGAAGGGCAGAAAGTCAAAGATGCAGGTGGCACATGGTCAGTTTCTGACAAGAGCTCTCTTCCTGGCTTGCAGAGAGTTACTTTTCACTGTGCCGTCAGAGAAAGAGCAAGAGCAAACTCTCTTATGAGAGCACAAATCCCATCATGAGGGCCCTACCTGCATGGCCTCATCTAAAACTAGTTATCTACCAAACGCTCCTTCTCAAATACCACCACACTGGGGATTAGGGCTTCAACACATAAATTTTGCGGGAACATAATTCAGGCACATCAGGCTTTGCAGCAAGTAAGGCCTGGCTAGAATCCAGACTTCACAGCTCTACGACCTCCAGCGCCTCACTTGCCTTATCCATAAAACACGAAGAGTAATAGTACTTACCTCTTAAGGCTGTTGTAAGGATTAAAATAAGATAACAAGTATAAAAAATCCTTAGGACAGTAAGTATGTAATAAGTATTTGTTGTTGATATTGTCATTACTGATCTTGCCACTCTTTTGTTTTTCTATTGCCAGAGGGTATATGTGCTTACTAGACAGAGAAAGAACACACCCCCTACAATGGGGTGTGACCATGCTGCAATTCCCATTCCTCAATTTTCCATCCAGTTAGGAAACCGAGCATGCACGAACACATGCCCAGTGTTTTTCAAGCCACCAGGGCCAGGACTTGAACTATGGTCTGGGTTCCCAATGCACAGCACCTTACTCACTATGCCATGGGGACAGCTATGATCTTATCATTCGTACACTTGTCCTTCTTATTACAATCATCATTGCTGTTTGTCACTATCATTATGTTATTTTCATCAGCATTGTTTCTATCATTATTAGAATAAAGTGAAATTATTCTAGATCCTAGAGCTCTAAGATAATTTAGTATAAGAAATAATTGACACAAAGTATAGCATCATTTATCAAAGTTGAAATTTAAAGCAATCTAAACACCAATACATTAGTCAGCTCAGATTATGATAACAAAATACCACGACTGGGATTTTTCTCATCATTCTGGAGGCTGGAAGTCCAAGATCATAGTGCTTGGATGGCAGGTTCTGGCAGGACCCTTTCTGGCTTGTGAAAAGCTATCCCTGTTGCTGTGTCCTGATAAGACACCCTTTCTGGCTTGTGAAAAGCTATCCCTGTGGCTTTGTCCTGATAAAGACAGAAAGCTCTGGTCTCTCTTCTTCTCCTTATAAGAGCACCAGTTTATCTGATTAGAGTTCTAGCCTCGTGACCTCATTTAACTTTGATCACCTCCTTAAAGGTCCTGTCATATGGTGGGTGGGTTAGGAACTCAACATGAGTATTGGGAAGGGGGGGGTGCAACTCAGCTTATAGTAACCAGTAATAATGAAAGCTTAAGTATGCTAAAAATGAACATTACATGATAACTATGTAAGAAACAAAGAAAATAGGTACCATGAACATATCAGGACATAAAATTTCAATATAAATATGTAAAAAAGGCTTATAAAAATAAAAGGGAATAGAGAATAATTATAATAAAAATGATGTTCACCTAGCTATAAGAAGCCTAAGGAAAGTACTTTGTAAATAGGAGCTTTGTGACTAGCTAAGTATCAGAGGCAGAAGTGCATTCTTAATGCTCTGAAATAGTCATCTCCTTACTAAATGGAGAACTTAAAAAGTCCCATCTTGTTCCTAGATTCAGCTCCAAGTCTATGATCTCTGAGGGATGCACAACTCTCTTCAACATGGTATCCATGTGACTCCTTCCCAACCCAGTGACTGACAAAGGAAGACAAGTAACCTTTGCTCTCCACCACCACCGCTGCACCCAGTGCACAATGGTGAGAAAAAAAAAAAAAATGAAAGTAACGAAGCCTTCCACACTGAAAACGGTAAATAAATATCTTTATCAATGAAATACTGCTGGACAGGAATTGCATTCCTGCTCA